AATTCTGTCATGATCAATAAAGGCTTGCAAATTATTGGACTACCCCGCGTGTCTATCTTTCAGTCAATTTTCCAAGCAAAAAATAATCATATACAATGAAATAAAAAAAATGGAAAAAGAAAAAATAAATAATTGGCAAAGAAGAAAATGAACATACATACATTGCATTTGACTGTTTGAACAAGGGACAGGTCAGTGAATGCTTGAGGAAGTTTGCCGATTTTGTTTCATGTGGAAGGCAAGTAGACATCACCCGGGAATTGACCAGCAATAGGGTGCACAAGATTCCAGTATATCCAAGGCTAAGCCAGTGAGTAGGAAGCAGAAGGCTGAAGACCGAATGGTCCTTGAAAATCAAGGAGGAAGTGGCCAAGCAGCTGGAAAATCAATTCATAGAACCCATTGCCTACCCGACATGATTAGCAAACATCGTGCCAGTGCCGAAGAAAGATGGCAAAGTCAGAATGTGTGTGGATTACAGGGATTTGAATAAAGCATGTCCAAAGGACGACTTCCCCCTACCACATATTGATTTGTTGGTGGACCAAATGGCAGGACACGAGATGGTCTCCTTGACCGATCTTGCTTTGGATACAACCAAATAATGATGCATTTGCCAGACAAAGAGAAGACGGCATTCATCACGGAATGGGGAATCTACTGCTACAGGGTCATGCCTTTTGGGCTCAAAAATGCCATGCCGGGGCAACCTATCAAAGAATGGCGACAGCCATCTTCCATGACATGATTCATGAAGAAATTCATGAAGAAGTAGAAGTGTACGTGGATGATATGGTTATTAAATCAAAAACAGCTGAAGAGCATACAATAGCACTTGAGAAGTTCTTCCTTAGACTTCGAAAGTATAATTTGAAGCTTAACCCAGCAAAGTGTCTGTTCGGCAAAGTGTCTGTTCGGAGCTACATCCGGAGTATTTCTGGGGCATATGGTCAGTCGGAAAGGCATAGAGATTGACCCTTTAAAAGCCAAAGCCATCCTAGAAATGCCGGCTCCAAGAACGGAAAAAGAAGTCCGGGATTTCCTGGGAAGACTACAGTATATCAGCCGGTTCATCAATCAACTGGCGGACACTTGTGGCTCTATGTTCAAGTTACTTAGGAAAGGAATAGCAGTCAAGTGGAATGAAGACTGTCAAGAAGCTTTCGACCAAGTCAAACGATATTTGCTATCCCTTACAGCCACCAAGGCTAGGAAAGCCTTTGTTATTGTACCTTATCAGTCACGGAAGAGCTTATGGCGTTGCAATGTTAGCTCAGCAAGCAGAAGATACAAGGATAGAAAATCAGTTGTATTATCTCAGCAAAAGGATGCTAGAATACGAATTAAAGTACCAATAAAATAGAGAAGTTGTGTCTTGGCTTCTAGGTCTGGGCCTGTACCAAGCGTACAGCACTAACCTCTCGTCTTTAACACTACGTACGTTATTTCTGAGTCGAACCCTTGGAAATTCCTTATGGAAGAGGCGGTTTTTCTTGACTGTAAGATGGCAAAGTGGGTATCGTACTTGCAGCTTATGACCTAAAGTTTATAAATTGTATCAGTAAATACTGTAAAATTAATTAAGCCTTGGTTGATCAATTAGCAGAATTACCAGTCGAAGACCAGATGCCGGAGGTAGAATTTCCTGATGAAGACTTGTTGAGCTTGGAAAGTGAGGCCTAGGAAATGTACTTCGATGGAGCTTCAAACTACCATGGAAATGGGGTTGGAGTTGTATTCAAAACTCCTTGTGGAGAATACATCCCGATTGTAGTCAAATTAGATTTCGACTGCACCAACAATGAAGCCGAGTATGAGGCTTGCATAAAGGGGTTAGAAGCAGCCCTGGAAAAAGGAATAAAGATCCTCAAAGTTTTCGGAGATTCCAATCTGATAGTCTCTCAAGCTCTTAGGAAATGGAAAATTAAGGAAGAGCGTTTGGTTCCTTACCTGCAACGCTTGGACGACTAAAAAAAAGAAACAATGGTGAAATTAAATGATGGTGACAGTGATTTTCGCAAGTGTACGAAATCGCAACAAGTAATATAGAGTGAAAAAGTATCGTATCCACATGGATTGTATATAGAAGAGGATCGAGTCATTCGACCCTTGACAGTGCAGCTACAGAAACAGCCAGCACATATCATGAATTTGGTCGACGATAAGCCCTGGTATTGGGATATACGGAATTATCTTCAGAACGAAGTTCACCCAGAGGGATCCACCAAAACTGATCAACGGACATTGAGACAACTAGCATCCCGATATTTCCTTACTGGGGGAGTTCTTACAAAAGAAGTTGGAATGGCCTGCACCTAAGGTGCGTTGATGAGGAAGAAGCTCAAACCATCATGGATTCCTTACATAACGGGGAGTCTGGCCCACACGGAGTCTGGCCCACACATGCATGGGATAGCCTTGGCTCGAAAAATCACGAACCTTGGTTATTACTGGTCAACCATGAAGGCAGATTGTGTGAGGCATGCGCAGAAGTGCCACGAATGTCAATTTTTTGCTAAATTGCAAAAACAGCCTCCGGTCAATCTAAATCCTATCACTTCACCATGGCCTTTCGCGACCTGGGGCATAGACGTGATCGGAAAAATCCAATCCACCCGAAGGCTTCCACGGTCACCAGTCATTTTTGGTTGCTTATAGGATTTATTTCTACTAGTGGATCGAGGCAGCCTCTTATCGATTCTGAATGCCAAAAGGCAGCCACAGTTTCGTTCGTTACCAATATCCTTGCAGGTACGGACGCCATTCGAGGATCACCACGGATAATGGAGCTCACTTCCAGGGTGAATTTGCTAATTTGTTGAAAGAGACGAGAATCCAACATCATAAGTCCTCGCCCTATCGTCCGCAAACCGGGGCTGTAGAAGTTGCAAATAAGCCCATAAAAGTTATTTTGCAAAAGACAATTAAAAAGCACAAAGCTTGGCATGAACAGTTACCGAATGCCTTATGGGGATATCGGACTTCAATTAGAACACCTACTGGGGCAACCCCGTATTCCTTAGTATATGGCATGGAAGCAGTATTGCCTATTGAGTTAGAAGTTCAGTCGGCGAGGGTTATCCGGGAAAGCCAGATCAGTGAAGCAAATTGGGCTGAGAATTATCATTTGCAGCTCTTGGGTATGGATGAAAAGCGGTATGGATGAAAAGCGACTACAAGTAGTCCACCAAACTCAAGTGTACCAAAGAAGGATGGCACGACATTTCAATAAGAAGGTCAAAGACCGGAAACTAAACGAAGGATGTTTAGTCCTGAAGGAAATTAGACAGCCAATGCTAGACCCACGTGGGAAGTTTCGTCCTCACTGGGCTGGACCCTATGTGTTGAAGAAGGTACTGTCTGGCGGAGCCGTTATCTTGACTGTCTTGACTTGATTTGGATGGTTTGGAATTCACGAATCCATGTAATTTAGATCAGTTAAAAAGATTATTTTGTGTAATAAGCATTGCATAATGTAAAACAAACTACATTATGACCTGATTTCTCTTTGAAAAAAAAAAAAAAAAAAAAGAAAGAAGAAATTATATATCGGAGATGGTGGCAGCCCTGTTTGGGCACGGTCTAAACATTAATAAAAAATTCATCATTTCATCGTTCTTTCTTCTTTGCTAATATAAAAAAAATAATAAATTAAAATACAAAAATAAAAAAATAATAAATAAAAAAACCCGCTAAGTCGAAAACCCGAAAGGGCGGCTTAGGCAAAAATCGGGGCCCGCTAAGTTGAAAAAACCCAAAAAGGGCGGCTTAGGCAAAAATGGGTAGCATCGCCTAGTTGAAAACCCGAAAGGGCGCTTAGGAACCCGAGAGGGCGGCTTAGGCAAAAATCAGAGCTTGAATAAATGAAGTTGGAAAATGCTTGGAAAGCTTAATGACATGCCCAATTGAAAGCAACAAAGTCAAACAGTCCAAAGTCAAGCAGAAAACTAAAGAGACCAAGAAAAATAAATAATAAAGTCCAGATCCAAAGGAACATACATCCAAAAATCCAATGCCAAAACACCAAAATCCACACCCCAAAGTCCCAAGTAAAGACAAAAGAGTTCAAACAAAGCCAAAACACCAAAAGTCCAAAAGCCTATTAGAGTCTAGGTACCCCGTCGCCTCCGTGGGGCATCGCCTCCGTGGGGCAATATCTTCTGAGTCATCCTTAACTGTCGAACTCTCCCCAACCTCGCCTGTCCGAGGAGCCAACATAATCTCCTCATCGCCAGCATCAGCCCGAACCCAACTCTCGAGTGCACTCAGCAATGCGTTCCTCCTTGGCTTTTCCACTGGCCAGACAGCGGTCATGAACCAGGTCCGATATTCAGGAGAAGTATGAATACCAGCAGGATCAGGTAAGGGCCTAACCATGTGATGGTCTCTAACCCATGCCCTAAGAACGGCTCGGGTAACTCCCGGAGTGATGGCTGAATCAGCTAAAGAATCATTAACGAGTCATCCATAGTCGGAACAGTCTGATCTATCCCCATCTGTCCCAGAACGCGCGAAGCACAATACCAGGTGCAATGTGTAAGGCCCAACAGGTAAACCTGAGTATGGCGGAAGTTAACTTGAATAAACCGGTTGATATCATACCAAGGTATGAACCACAACACCTCGTCTGGACCTAGTTCAATTAACCATGAAGTCCACGCATCAACAGACGGGTATCCATGCATCAGCAAGATCGGGTATGTGATCAAGTAATCCTCCGCATACGATACTGAGAAGGGGTTTGTAAGGCAAAAGCGGGTAGGAGCAGGCAACCACTTGAAGGTGGTCCTTCAAGCAAACCTGAGTTAAATGGATCCTTTCTATTAAAAAGGCATGAACGCATAAAAAAAAAAAAAAAAAAAAAATAGCCTGGAGTATATCGGGGAAACTGTCCTAGTCCTCGAAGCCTAGAGCAGCTCTTGTCAAGGCCCCTGATGGTTTCTGCAGCACAATGCCAACCATGCAACCCATGTCCTCCCATCTGCCTGACCATAGGACAGAAGTCCCGCAAGTCCCCGAAGCCCTGGGTCTTGTTAAAACAAGGAAAACAGATAATAAGCAAAATACAAAAGCCCGCATCCTCAGCCTCATCCGGTCTGGGTCATTCTGAAAGAACCTTCTGAAAATTCATCAATCAGGGGCAGCAGAATTGCCTTCTGGTCCGTCAACAATCATCGCCCTTGAACTGAAACAGGTTTTCAAACGACCGAACATATCCAATTTTTACCTCATGCTTGACTAAAGGGGCATTGGGGTCGCACCCTATAATAGCACAAAATTTCTCAAAAAGAGGGTACATCTCCTCCATCATGGCCCCGAACCGAAAAATGTGGGCCTCCGGGTCCCAAAGTCTAATGCAGGCCCGTAAAAAATTCTAGTCAACTACTATCCCCCTAAGAGTAATGATAGGAGAAAGACCGTACCTCCCCAAGTTGATATTTTCGACCTTGGAGAGACTCCTAGTCTAGTTGTGCATGCTATGGTTGTAAAAAGGATTCATGTTTTTTTAAAAGAAAAGAAGGAAGAAAAGAGAGAAAAGAGAACAAAATTGGCTGAAAACTGCTTCTTTGGCTCGAATTTCGAGAAAGAATGAATGAAATCTGAAAAAAAAAAGCCAAAAAGTAAGCTTTTATAGAAAAAACGCGCCCGGAGGCGGCGGCCAACGCAAAAAAAAAAAAACTGTTATTTCCAGTACTAAAAGAAAAAAATATATATATTTTTCCATAAAATGGGCTGAACCTAAGGCCCAAAAATCACGATTTGGCCTAAGGCCCAAAAATCACGATTTGGCCTAAGGCCCAAAAAATCGCGATTTGGCCTAAGGCCCGAAAAAATCACAATTTGGCCTAAGGCCCAAAAATCACCATTTGGACTAAGGCCCAAAAATCACCATTTGGCCTAAGGCCCGAAAAATCACAATTTGGCCTAAGGCCCAAAAATCATAATTTTGGCCTAAGGCCAAAAAAAATTCACATTTGGCCTAAGGCCCAAAAGTACAGAAGCAAAGGGAGCTTACCTGGGCGAAGATGCCGGTCATGGAAGCGTGAGTGTCAGCGTCCGCGCCAAAAGTGCCCGAAAAAATCACGAATCAGGCCCCAGAAGGAAAAATCACATTCAGGCCTCAGAGGCCCGAAAAATCACTTTTAGGCCCCAGAGGCCCGAAAAATCACATTCAGGCCAAAGTGGCCCGAAGAATCACATTCAGGCCAAAGTGGCCCGAACAATCACATTCAGGCCAAAGTGGCCAGAAAAATCACATTCAGGCCAAAATGGCCCGAAAAATAACAATCAGGCCAAAGTGGCCCGAAAAATCACAATCAGGCACCAGAGGCCCGAAAAATCACAATTCAGGCCCCAGAGGCCCGAAAATTCACAATTCGGCCTAGGGTCCGAAATTCAAAACTCGGCCTAGGGTACGAAAATTCACAACTCAGACCAAGGCCCCACAATCCCAATTTGGCCCAAGGTCCGAGTTTTCGCCTTCAAAATTTGCTCCATCAGACAACCACTGGCTCTCATCAGGAGACTTTTGCTAGATTGCTCCGTACTTGTGAATACTCAAATTTTGAGGCTTCTCATGTTGTTGGTGGCATGTGAAACTCTTTAAACGGAGGAAAACACGCTGCTACAGTGCCATGCCCAGCACTAGACAAATCGACCGCCACCTCGCTCTCATTGAGCGATGGCTAGAAATGGGATGGGAGGGGTGAAGAATGGCGTTGCCCTGGCGCTAGCGAAGAAGAAGAGAAGAAGAAAGAAAAAAGAAAATGGGTTTTTCCGCCGCTGGAGTAGAAAAGGCAATCTACTACATTAGCAAGAAACTACTGCCTATAGAGGAGAAGTACAATCTGATAGAGAAAACGTGCATGGTGTGAATACTCAAATTTTGACATTGCTACAGTAAATTTGACTTTTCTATAGTAACTTCCTGGGCAAGGCCTGCCGCCCAGCGCGCGCGGGGCCTGTCACCCCGCGCGGGCGGGGCCTGGCCCCCCACCCCTCTGGGCGACACCTGCCGCCCAGCTTTGGCACTCCTGTCTGTTTTGATAGACGAAACCTTCTCTCTCTCACGCTCTTTGCATCCTTCTTTACCGCTTTTCGCATTTTAATTTAATTTTTATTGCATTTTTATTATGATATTTGACCACTAAAATTAAATAAAATCCCCCCGAGGCAGGGCCTGGCCCCCCCACGCCCTGGGCGGCACCTGCCGCCCCAGCTTTTGGGGCGACACCTGCCGCCCAGACCAGGCCGGGGCTGCCGCCCCGACGGACCTGGGCCGGCCAGCTGCGCCTCCCAGGCGGCACCCCGCCAGCGTG